TATCCATATAGAGGAAAAGGTTATTCTTGTATCCCTATGAGGGAAAGACTATGCACTAGTCCCTGATATCCTCCCAACACCTTCAAGGGTGTTCTAATCTGCGGCTCGATCTAAGAGAAGCAAAAGAAAAAAGCTGCCTAATGTGCCATCACACCGGCTGTATGAGCGGCACTGTGTAGAATGAAAAATAAAGAAAAGAATTAATTTAACCTATAAGGGTCTAAATACCCATAGTGATAAAGTGTCCCTAAAAAGTGAACAAAGTGAGTGATGATTGCGCCCGACGCGCGTTTCGGTGTGTTAGAACACCTTCGTCAGGGGATGAAACTGTCTCGCAAAAAAGCCGGGACTTTTAAACCCCCGTGTAGCCAATCAGATGTAAGCTCTCTCCTTGATCATTCAATCACGTGTCCGGGAAGTCATGACGTCATTCGTAACGTATCTACCCCTGTGACCTACTGATGGGCGGGATAACAAAGGGAGGAGGGAGGAAAGCCTCCTAATTAAACGTCATTGAATTGAACTAATTCGGTTTAAGAATCCCTCCTTCTCTGATAACTTATTGTCCCACGTGGTGGCCCAGGGGTGAAGGGAATAAGGAAATTTTTTATTCGACAACGTCGTTTGATGGACAGTTTGAATTTAAATATTCACCGGTCACGGGCTAAATGGCATCTATTACACGAAATATTGATATTATATTTCAACGGTGCTCATCCTGTAATTCATAAATTCATTAACTGTGTGATATATTCATTGGTGGAGGTATGATTCATAGTGCGTTTAAGCTTTATATTATTAGCTATAAAAAGCACTGTGTCAGGTATAGCATGGCATGTAATTCATCGCCGGAACCCACTTCCGGGTTCACGGCGCTCAGCCCCGCCCCTTTTTTCTGACGCGGTCCCTCCACGATACTTAGGAGGACCGCGCCAGATTCAAAGGGCTGGATTATTCGCACAGGTGCTGCAAGAAGATCAGCTGCTCTACTTTTGATCCTACCTGCTCCACTTCTATACCTCGGCTAGTAAACGGATTTCTACCTTCTCCACTTCTCGACCTCGGCTTGTAAATGAATTCTACCTTCTCCACTCCCAGACCTCGGCTTGTTAAAACGGACTTCCCCACTCTCCACTCCTAGTTCTCAGCTTGTTGAAACGGACTTCTAATTTCTCCTTCATTGGGTGAATTAACCCTTCCAGTGCCAGAACTGCCTTTAAGTTAAGTAATACTTTTACCAACCAAGTCAATTCCTATTATTTTTATTACACAATATCTAAAACTCACTAAAGTGTCACTTTGTCTAATTATTCCTCTTATTCATAAGGGATTGCTACAAAACCTAATTTTACCTTCATGGGTATTTAAAGGTACAGTGACCATTGTTTCATACCAATATAAAAGGAGGTGAAACTTTTTGTTGTTGCAACCAGGAAATGCTGCAGTTGAGTTCCAATTAAAGAAATATTACAAAATAAATATTACAGAATAATCCAGCCTAAATCAATGGAACCAGCAGATATTAACTCTCAAGTTTCTGCCCTAACCTATAGAGTGGATACGATTGCTCAAGGGTTACAGGAACTGCAAATTACAAATGAGAGAATATTAACCTATGTTAGAGACATTCAAGGTCATCTTCCTCATGCCGCTCTTCAATCGGCTGGTGATCCTGCTGTCTGTAATCCAGAAAAATTTTATGGAGATAGAACAAAGTACAGAGAGTTTTTGAATTCTTGCAAACTACTAATAGCTTTAAAACCTAGATCTTATCCCACCGAAAGATCCAAAGTCTGTTCAGTGATCTCTTTTTTAAGAGGTGAACCTATGGCCTGGGCCCATTCCTTTTTGGAAAATGATGATCCCATATTAGATTAATTGGATGAATTCTTTGAAGCTATGTCTTTATCATATGAAGATCCTTTTAAACAAACTACTGCTGATTTAACCATCAGAGCATTACACCAAAAGAGTAGACCTGTTGAAGATTATATTGCAGAATTCAAAAGATGGGCTACAGAAACCCAATGGAATGACATTACTTTACGCAATCAATTCCGTCTCGGATTATCTGAAGCTGTGAAAGATGAACTCTCTCGTACAGAACTTCCTCCTACCTTAAATGCCTTGATTCAACTGTCTATCAGTATTGATAGACGTCTAAGAGAAAGAAAAGCTGAAAGGGTTCTTACTAATTCTACCTGGAGAAAACCTTTCACTACTCTAAAACTACCTGAAAAAATTCCTCCACAAACTGAACCTATGGAAGTAGGTATAATAAAAAGTCCTCTTACTTCTGAAGAAAGAATAAGAAGGAGACAACTAAACTTATGTATGTATTGTGCTTCGAATGAACATCTAATTTCCGAATGTCCTCTACTGAAACATTCAAAAGGTGGTAAGCTTCATTCATCTACCTCTATATTGAACGTTTTTCAAAAAAGAAAAGCATCTACTTATTTTTCTATATCTCTCATATTACAGTGGGATACAAAAAGAATCGTGACTGAGGCCATCATTGATTCTGGTGCTAATGGAACTTTTCTTGATTTTTCTTTTGTTTCAAAAAATAAAATTCCTTGTGTTCAAAAAACCAACTTTATTCCAATCAGAGTTATTGACGGTTCATTTATATCCTCAGGACCCATCAAAGATGAAACAATCCCTCTAAGAATGATTACCAACAACGTACATTTCGAATTCATTACATTTGATATTATTAAATCTCCACTTTATCCCGTCATTCTAGGAATTAATTGGTTAAAAAACCATGATCCTTTAATTAAGTGGTCTCCCTTCTCCATCTCCTTTGCTTCTGATTTCTGTAAAAAAACGTGCTTACAACACATTCCTATTCTCCAAACTACTGTAGAGCCAGTTATACCTCCATTCTACTCCGATTTTGCAGATGTCTTTTGTAAAAAAGAAGCGGAAACACTTCCTCCTCATCGGGTATATGATTGCCCAATAGATCTCATACCCGGAGCTCCTATTCCTTATGGTCATATTTATCCACTCTCTGAAAAGGAGTTAGAAATTTTAAAAGAATATCTTAATGAAAATTTACGCAAAGGGTTCATCAGACCCTCGACCTCTCCTGCTGCTTCTAGTATTTTCTTTGTGAAGAATAAAGACCAAACCATCCGTCCTATTATAGATTACAGAGCCTTAAATAAAATAACTATTAAAAATCGTTATCCTCTTCCACTAATAAATGAATTAATTGAAAGGTTAAGAACTGCAACTATATTCACTAAACTCGACCTTCGAGGCGCATATAACCTCATTAGAATAAAACAGGATGATGAATGGAAAACCGCCTTCCGGACAAGATATGGTCTCTACGAATATCTAGTGATGCCTTTCGGGCTCTGTAATGCCCCTGCAACATTTCAACATTTTATAAATGATATCTTTAGAGATCTTCTGGATGTATGTGTTATTATCTACTTAGATGATATCTTAATATATTCTAACAATTTGAATGAACATAGGAAGCATGTTAGATGGGTTCTATCTAGACTGAGAACTCATAAATTATACGCTAAACCAGAAAAATGCCTTTTTGAGGTTACTGAATTCTCTTTTCTAGGATACATTATTTCACCTCATTCTTTGAAGATGGATAATTCCAAAATCAAATGTATTATTGATTGGCCTGCTCCTACTACTACAAAAGAATTACAACGTTTTCTTGGATTTGCAAACTTCTATAGAAAATTTATTAGAAACTATTCGGATGTATCACATCCTCTTAACCTCCTCAACAGTAGTAAACGTCCTTTTAATTGGAATAAAGATGCACAAACAGCCTTCGACGAATTAAAAAAAAGATTTACAACTGCACCTATTCTACAACTACCTAATCCAACATTCCTATATGTTCTTGAAGTTGATGCATCAGATGCAGCCATCGGAGCAGTTCTTTCTCAACAAAAGACTCCACAAGATCCACTTCATCCAGTTGCCTTTTTTTCAAGATCCTTGAGCTCTGCTGAAAAAAATTATCCTATTGGTGAAAAAGAATTAAGTGTTAAAGCTGCCTTCGAAAATTGGCGTCATCTTCTGGAAGATACAAAACAACCTATAATAGTTTATACTGACCATAAAAATCTTGAATATCTCTATACTAACAAAACCCTTAGAGCTAGACAAGTTAGATGGAACCTATTTTTTAACCGATTTAACTTCCAATTAATATACAGACCTGGAAATAGAAATAAAAAGGCTGACGCTCTTTCTCGAATTCCTTCTAAAACTACTACTGATGATTATCCTCCTACCAAAATAATAGGGATCCTCTCTTCTCTTCATGATGACATAAAGAATTTGAATCAGAAGGATCTTGAACTTCCCAAAACACCTATACTAACAAAAAAGGATGGTATATTTTATTTTAAAAATAGAATTTATATTCCTCCCATTCTTAGGAATAAATTACTTAAGATGGTTCATGATTCCCCCTAGCTGGACATCCTGGAATAAAGAAAACACTTGAACTAACTTCACGATATTATTGGTGGCCTCGCCAGGATAGAACCATTGAATTATATGTCAAAACATGTCCTATCTGTCAAAGGTCTAAACCAGAACATAATCAACCTTTTGGATTACTACTTAACTTACCTATTCCAGAAAAACCTTGGCAATCCATTTCCATGGATTTTATCGTTGATCTTCCACCTTCTCAACATTTCACCACTATTCTTGTCGTTGTGGATCGCTTCACAAAAATGTCCCATTTCATTTCTTTAAAAAAATTACCCTCCTCTGTAGAATTGTCTAAGGTCTTTATTGACAATATTGTGAAACTTCATGGTCTTCCTGAAGAAATTATTTCTGATAGGGGGACACAATTTACCTCCAAATTCTGGAAAGAGATGTGTCTCTCCCTTCAAATTCAACGCAAACTCTCTTCCGCTTATCATCCCCAAACTAATGGGCAAACAGAAAGGGTTAATCAATGTTTGGAACAATATCTTCGATGTTATTGTTCATACCTACAAGATGACTGGACCACATGGTTACCTATGGCCGAATTTTCTTACAATAATACCATTCATTCCAGTACGAAAATGACTCCTTTCTTCTCCAACTATGGTTTTCATCCGTCTTCATTCCCCATCCAAACCATTACTTCATCCAATCCTACTGTTACATCAAAAAACGAATTTATGTCTTCTCTATTTCTCAAATTACGGGAGAATCTTCAACTCGCCCAAAATAACCAGAAAAAGTTTTTTGACAATAATAGAAGAATTCCCCCTCCTTACAAGGTAGGGGATCTTGTCTGGCTCTCTTCAAGGAATATTACCACAAGCCGTCCTTCAAAGAAATTGAGCTCTCTTTTTCTTGGTCCCTTTCAAGTAATTACTATCATTAATGATAACGTTGTTAAACTGAAACTTCCTCCAAGTTTTAAACTTCATCCGGTATTCCATGTCTCCTTACTTAAACCACACATCCCTGATCCTTTTTATAGAGAAATAGTAACAACTCCTGAACCTATCATTGTCCAAGGTGAAGAAGAATATGAAATTCACAAAATTTTGGATTCTCGTGTCCACCGTGGCTCTTTACAATACCTTATCAGATGGAAAGGTTATGGAGTTGATGAAGACACTTGGGAAGATTCATCTAATGTACATGCTAGGAGGTTAGTTACTGCCTTTCACAAACGCTACCCCTCCAAACCGAAATAGTGCACCCTGAGGATGCCCCATGAGAAGGGGGTACTGTCAGGTATAGCATGGCATGTAATTCATCGCCGGAACCCACTTCCGGGTTCACGGCGCTCAGCCCCGCCCCTTTTTCTGACGCGGTCCCTCCACGATACTTAGGAGGACCGCGCCAGATTCAAAGGGCTGGATTATTCGCACAGGTGCTGCATGAAGATCAGCTGCTCTACTTTTGATCCTACCTGCTCCACTTCTCGACCTCGGCTTGTAAACGGATTTCTACCTTCTCCACTCCTAGACCTCGGCTTGTAACTCTGAATTCTACCTTCTCCACTCCCAGACCTCGGCTTGTTAAAACGGACTTCCCCACTCTCCACTCCTAGTTCTCAGCTTGTTGAAACGGACTTCTAATTTCTCCTTCATTGGGTGAATTAACCCTTCCAGTGCCAGAACTGCCTTTAAGTTAAGTAATACTTTTACCAACCAAGTCAATTCCTATTATTTTTATTACACAATATCTAAAACTCACTAAAGTGTCACTTTGTCTAATTATTCCTCTTATTCATAAGGGATTGCTACAAAACCTAATTTTACCTTCATGGGTATTTAAAGGTACAGTGACCATTGTTTCATACCAATATAAAAGGAGGTGAAACTTTTTGTTGTTGCAACCAGGAAATGCTGCAGTTGAGTTCCAATTAAAGAAATATTACAAAATAAATATTACACACTGTTTTTTTGTCTCATCCACCGATAATTGCTTCAAAATTCAAAGTGAGGAAATTTATAAGTCAGGAGAATGTAACCCTAATCTGCAAATTCCATCCTATTTCAGGGATGTAGTTGCAATGTCAAAAAATAAATTGTAAAAATGTTAAAAACGGGTTACATTGATATTGAGCAGTGTTAATTATTATGGTTGATGCTGTTGAAGGATCCTGTTACATCAATGATTTTTACAAAGTTTGGCACAGGGTTTGAAAAATCTATGTTTAACTATGATTAAATTATTTACAGTGAATTATTTACAGTGCTGATGATACTGTTTTTACAAGTTGTAGTTTATGTAGAGATCAAGTGATGAAGGGAGTATAAGTGAATCCTTCATTCAATCCTTTAGGTGACATGGTTTTCAATCGGTAAATCCAATAGCACTCTCTTTTCCTAATACACTGGTCCCAGTTTCCCTTTCTTTGATCCTGTCGAATTAATTCTATTCCCTGAAATCTCAAAACTGTGGGATCTCCATTATGTGGAGGTGTTCTAACACACCGAAACGCGCGTCGGGCGCAATCATCACTCACTTTGTTCACTTTTTAGGGACACTTTATCACTATGGGTATTTAGACCCTTATAGGTTAAATTAATTCTTTTCTTTATTTTTCATTCTACACAGTGCCGCTCATACAGCCGGTGTGATGGCACATTAGGCAGCTTTTTTCTTTTGCTTCTCTTAGATCGAGCCGCAGATTAGAACACCCTTGAAGGTGTTGGGAGGATATCAGGGACTAGTGCATAGTCTTTCCCTCATAGGGATACAAGAATAACCTTTTCCTCTATATGGATACAATTCGTGCTTATTGTTTTCAGGTCCCTAACTCACTCCCTCTGGAGATGACTCATAAGAAGCAGTTACTGCATTTGTATTTTCACTAACTAATGCAACATTGTATCTAGCTATACTTTGGCTTTTTTTCCTTTTACTTTTTCTTTTGCTGCCAATGTGGATTTATGGGATTCTGTTATTGGTATATTGACCACAGTAATATATACTAGTCAATACTAGTAAGGTCATCTGCCATTTTTAAAGGGAGACTTTTTATGGATAACTATGTTACTAGTCAGAACTCAATAAAGACAGCAATTAGCTATTACTCTATATTAGTACTAGTACCTTAGTCATTAGGGAGTTTTCTTATCTCCCACCCTTCTCTCTCTTCCCATTTATACATACACACATTTAATTACTGTAAAGGGCTAATAGGCACAGACCTTCAAGCTGTTAAACACATTCCTTTGCCAGTATTTACAACATTTTCAATTTTGTATTTATTCGGGTACAGGCCCTTAGGTGGACTGGCACCACCTTCTGACCACTATTCCTGCCTGCTTTTTCTCTAAATGCCTGTTTGCTGTTCATCTAAATAGGCATTCTTAGGATTATCAGGCAAGTCAATTAGTTTTAATGGATACACTAGATGTCTCAAATTGCTTTAACGTTCTTGAAAATAAGCAAGAACTGTCAATAAACTTGATAATGTGTTTAACATTAAACCTTAGAAGTGCACTAAGTATGGTGAACGTGTAATAGCATGAGAAGTATGGAGAGTGCTACTATTAAGGTTATTAATATGGAATTCAGTTAGAAAAATATAGGAAAGACATTTAGAAAGATAACACATGACTATAACGTATATATTTGTCCTAGGAGACCTTATTGCAATACTTGGCTAAGCCATACATTACAAAATGTACAATTCCTTATGTGAAGGCATACCGGTGCATAATATACTGCTTAATTTGACCTTTGCAGGTGTGAACAGATAATTACTAACCTCCAGATAAGGAAGAGCAACTCATCAGATTCTGTTACAGGTGGCTAATTATCACTCTAGATAATAGGCTAAGCTTGGCTATCAGGTAAGAGAGCACTTCAGAAGTTGTGGGAAACACGAACACAACATCACAGTCATTAGGAAAAAGAAAAATAAATGTTGAATAAATGCCTGTTTTCTGACATCATATGAGACCTTTCTGTCAGAACATTCAGTATATAAAAGAATTTGACTAATGCAGTAAAGCGGTTAAGCAAATCCTTTGAAATCAACTATCAACTAGACAGTTTAGGGGCTTTTAATGCCAAAATAACACCATTGTGACTTACCCTTGTCTCTATTAGGACTAGATCTGTGCATTAACTCCTTCTATAAACACAGCTGCACACATAGGCATGAATAGCCTTTCCTATGATGGTATGCATCCAGGAAAAAATTTAGATTTCTCTTCCCCCTAAATAAAATGAATAAATTAAATTAACAAATTTTGCTCTAGTAATAATCAGACATATTCAATGATTTTTCAAGATTTCTCTCTTCAACTGGTGAATATAACCTGTAGATGATAAGCTTGTTTCAGAATGGTCCTCATCAACCTATTGATACTGTAATATTTTGTAATTTTCTCATTAATTGTTCATTTTCACATTTTATAATATTGTAAAGCACTACGGAATAAGTTGGTGCTATATAAATGATTATAATAAAAATAATTTAAAAAATGCACAAGAGACAAAGGAGCGCAAAATCCCCCTTAATTACAGGTCCATCTAGGATTAATCCTGCCTGCTGTAAACATAGCAGTTTCAGAGAAACTACTATGTTTACAATAGGGTTAATCCAGCCTCTAGAGGCTGTCTCATTGACAGCCGCTAGAGTCGCTTCCACGCTTCTCACTATGATTTTCACAGTGAGAAGACGCCAGCGTCCATAGGAAAGCATTGAGAATGCTTTCCTATGGACTGACTAAATGCGCGCACAGCTGTTGCCGCGCATTCGCATTCGGCAGAAGAGGGAGGAGAGTCCCCAGCACCGAGGGAGCCCGGCGCTGGAGAAAGGTAAGCCTTTAACCTCTTCCTTCCCCTAGAGCCTGGCCGGAGGGAGGCCATGAGGGTGGGTGGGACCTATTAACACTATAGTGCCAGGAAAACAAGTTTGTTTTCCTGGCACTATAATGGTCCTTTAACTTATTGAAATTGGCTCTTTTAAAATTATATGTTGTTATTTCAAAGGACACTATATTATGATTACTATTTCCCAAGTGCTCACCTACTTGAATGTTGGTCAAAAGATCACCGTTGTTTGTTAGAACCAGGTCGAGACAAGCCTCCTTTCTAGTTGGTGCTTGTACAAGTTGTGACATGAAGGTGTCATTTAACAAGTTCAAAAACCTAATTCCCTTTGCTGAACTATTAGTTCCTCTGTCCCAATTTATGTCCAGGTAATTAAAATATCCAATAATTAACGTGTTACCCAAATATGCAGCTTTCTCAATTTGCTCAAACAGCTTTTGTTCCTCATCAATATTAACATTAGGTGGTTTATAACATATTCCAACCAACCTTTTGTGAAGTTTTGATGGTGTAAATCAATTCAATTTGACTTTTTATATGTGTGCTAGAGGTGCACTTGTCATATCAGCTCATATAAAGCAAATACTTTGAAGAAACAAAATAACTAAGGTTATGAAACTGTGTTTTCCTCAGAGTCTGATTTTATAAAACGCTGTGTCCTAAGGCTTCTATCTGAGAGATTGTTGAAAGCTGCTAAAACTAAATAAAAATGTACTGTTGAATACTATATTGAAAGAAAAGTATCTAAATTAAAACAGGTGAGGGAACTGATTTCTTTTAAACGCTAGATCAGTTTTAAAAGCTTTGTTTCTCTACAGCAAGCATGTCAAATTTGAGGGCCACAATGATAATCTTTGCGACCCAACCTGCACTCTGCCCGCTTTGTGAGGGGGCTGCAAATGATTCTTGTCTTTCCTACCACGGCCAAACACGTGCTCCTGCAGGCGCAAGTGTGCAGAGTGGCTGTCTGTCTGCAGAGCAGGCCCCCCACTCACAGTGCCAGAGGAGAGGAGGGAGTGTAGGCACTGTATTGGATTTGGGGCAGTGTATTGGATTTGTGGGCAGTGTTTAAGAATGGGGGGGGGAGTGCAGTGTATTGGATTTGTGGGCAGTGTATAAGAATGGGGGGAGGGGGGAGTGTGTTAGATTGGGTATGCGTGGAGGCGCTGAACACTCCCCATGGAGATGAACTGCAGGCCAGGCCTTCTAACTAGGTCATTTTCATCAGGACAGTATATAATTAAGGGTCTTGTCCTGCAGTCCTGGTTTTGTTTCCTGCTATCCCACATCATTAGATGTACACTGAACAAGAGGCACTAGGACCACACAGAGAACTTCATCATAGCTCTCTGCATGGTCTGTGCTGTGGGCCATCCTGAGAGGCTGTCAGTCAACCTGGTGTGCTTAATGATAGGCTGATTGGGTTATTGGATTTGTCCCCTTTCTGGGTGGTTCTGCCCACTATGGGAGTCGCCAGTGACATGTTGTTGTGTCACAGTCAAAACTCCCTCAGGCCTGTCCATCCTGTCTTGGTCCCATACCTCCCAATGTTAGGAAGTCTAGAACTGGTCCACTGGGATATT